CTTTTTACACATACAAGTCACATAGTGGTTAAAGAAAACATTTTGATTTATTTGAAGCTGTTTATATTGGGGAAATGTTGGTAATAACTTTATTGTAGCACTAAACAATTATTAGAGTTATCCGTTAAGCTAATTGTTGCTATTGACAACAAATCCTTGTCTTCTTCTAACTTTGACATAGTTGCAACATTTGAACAACGAATGATCAATGCCAGACGCGGATCGGGGGGGGGGGGGGCGCATCCGGCGCACGCCCCCCCCCCTATTTTTTGCGGTGGCGAACAATTTTTTGCCCCATATATTCTCGCGTGAAAGGAGAACAAAAATATTTAAAAATGATAGTGATCTCCGTCGTAATTTACTCCGAAACGAGCCGGTTGGTGACTTGGTTGATTGCCCGTCAGTCCGCCCACCGAGGGCCGGGCTTCGCACTCCCAAGTGGGGGCAGCACGCCCCCCCCCCCTTCTGAAAATCCTGGATCCGCCCCTGAATGCAGTCAGTTTTATTTTCCAGTTATTTTCAAACCTTGGATCACGTATTAGTCCAAAGTCTTGCTCAAATATTCCTAAACAGTCATTTCCTCGAAGAATCGTTCCACAAACAGAAATAGCTAACAGACCGTGTGGATCTTTTTGTGATCTAACACCTTCAGCACTTACATTTGGATTAAATAATATTAACTCATCTTTTGTAATGGCTAAAAGTCTACCAGAAACCATTTCACATCCTTCAAATTGTTCAGTAGAGTTACAGAATTACTAGTAACCGTTAACAGTCGTAACCATCTGACAAATGTTTCTGCTAATAGCTGATCGGTAGCAGATGAACTATTGGTCATGAATTTATCACTGGTTGGTTGGTTTATTTGATAACCACTTTAATTATTTTGATATACCGGTACTGGATCTGGCAAAGTTAAAAGCGAACCATCTGTTATATTTGATCATGACCTTGTACTATATGTACGTGTATGTGTGTATTTTGTATAAGAGTTACTGGTTGTAATGGAGGGGTGGTGGTATGTCTCCTGAGTTATCTCCTTCTCCTGAATTAGAATCATCATCCTGCTTAAATTAATAATTTTAATGTGTGTGATAAGATTACTAGTCATCAACATCCCATCCCCTTGCACCTGTTTGGAAGGCATATAAGCAAAACAACTTCTTTATGTTGGTAATCAATATAAAAATATATCAGATTTCTCAAACAGTGTCCAGCGCCCTTATTCACGAAAACTTAAACTAAGTAACAACCGAAATTTTAAGAAATACTGCAACTTCATTGGATATATGCAAATTGATTTTACTGGTCAGCCAATCGAATTGCAGTATTTCTTAAAATTTCGATTGTATCTTAGTTTAAGTTTTCGTGCATAAGGACCCTGTTTAAGAGCTATTGCTCTCTGTACATATATAAACCAAGCAATGTCAACTACCTTTGCTTGATTGTTACTTACTTGTCAAATCTAGATTTGTAAGTATGTGAACATTGTCATAAATTCACATTTCAACACATGGAATAACCCAATCTGTTTTACAGACCTAATGCGACATCCGCAGCGAATATTCACTGCGGATCAGTGTGGGAATAACCATGGGACTAGCCAGAAGATATCACAGTAGCTAAGCGAGTCAGTATCTTGAATACTTTCTGAGATAGGCTCTAGAATAATGATTACATATCAAAAAATAATTCAAAATAAAATAAGTTAACAATGATCAGCTATGACCATGGGCGTCACACATGGAGGGGTCTTCGGGGGGGGGGGGGTGAATATACTTGGCCATAGTAGGCCCTAACCCATATTTATTTACAACAATTATTAGGATTAGTTAAGATTCTATCTGTATAAAACAATGTACAAATTAAAACACAAACACTTATCTTTACTTTTTGAAATCCATTTATAATACACAAAATACTTTTAAATATCTATACAACTTTCTTGTAAATGTCCACGTGTATATGTAGTTAACAGGGTGATTGTCAAATATGCATCCTCATAAACTAAAGTTATGTGATCAAGTTTTGTTTCATTTGGATCCTCCTCATAAAAATTCCCCTACTAAACTCTCTTTGTCGTGTTGTTCATAACTCAAGCGTAACATTCAATATGTAAAAGTGGTGAAAAAAATATGAATACGGCACCTCCTGACTTAAACATGACTAACATTGTATTGGTGTGATGTTTTAGTTTAACCCCGTAAAATATGCCAAAACAGTGTTTACAGAAGACTGAAACTTTAAACAAAAATTATGGGGGTGCTCTCCCCCCCCCCACAGTGGAAGGGTGACCCTCCCACACTCTCCCTATCGCACTACATCGGCTGTTGCGCAGCCTCATGCCTCCGGCGTCACAGGTTGTCAACTTTTTATATGTAATTTCATTTGCGCCCCCCCCCCCAATATATATTTCACAGCTGCGCCTATGGCTATGACAGAGATTATAGTAGTAATGAGATAATCTGTCTATAAACATTACATAATCAAGGCCCAGTTAGTCGCCTATTATTAAAATATTATTAAGTTTAAATATTTATCATTACTATTTATTGATTATTGTCACCCGGTAACCTCTAGTATATTACTATTAGAGGAAAGATTGTAGGCAGTTGACCACAGGCAGCAGGACATACTGAAGGTCAGGTCTCTGATAAGTTATTCCTTAGAGACTGTTCCTTATTAAGTCACCTAGCCTGTGGGTTATTATTGTATATTGGGATCACGGTGGCTAAGTGGGTGAGACGCTGGCTCGCTAGCCTGGAGGTCGGGTGTTCGATCCCTGCATTGGCCGAGAAAGTTCATCCCGATTTTCAGGCGTGGTTCCCATTGTTTGTGACGGAGGGCCTGACAAGGACAGCTGTCTAGTCGTTCGGATGGGACGAAAAACCGAGGTCACGTAAAAGATCCCTTGACAGTTGGAATTCGATATAAAAGTAGGCCATAGTGCCGCTGTCCGGGCAAAATTTCCCTCATAGCACACTGTATGGTGTATGCCCGTCTTTATTAGCCCAGTTCGGAGCAGAACAGTAGGATGTTAAACCCCATTTCATTTCATTTATTGTATATATTATTATCAAGTATTGTTACAAGAATAGAGAACTATACCAAGAAGAAGTGAGTTGTTCAATTATTGTATGTTCAATCTTACACCCCCAACTAGATTGAACATACACCCCATTGTCGCAGGTTGGACTTATAAGTACATGCAGGTCCATAAACCCCGGATGATAATACTGTGATATTCAAAGGTTTTTAAACTAATAATCCATACTGAATGAACGATAACAAACGTCAAGTTTTAATAACGAATTACAATCCCACTTCGGTCCACATCAGTAAGATCATTAAAGATCATTGGCATATCCTCCACAGCTCCAACGACTGCCTTGTTGCTTTCCCCAAACCCTGTCTTACAGCTTACCAAGTCCATCAAGAACCCCACCGTGAAACCTAAAGTTAGTGGGAAAAGTTACTATTATTTAGACAACCCGAAATGCCCCTTATTCAGTGCCAATATTGCAATACGTTAAAACTCAAGAACACATTCTGTTCTAGTAAAACTGGCAAATCTTATAAATGTTCTACCAATTGGACCTGCCATAGAAACTAGCGGCTGTCAGGCAGGATACGCCCACATTTTGCAAGAGATGGATAGAGAACAAGCTAAAAACAATCAGGGGCCATATATTTTCTAAAATGCGAAAATATCAAAAGGCACTGAGATTTTTGGAACATAAAGATATCTTTTAAGTTTCATCAAAATTGGATAAAAATTGTGACCTCTAGAGGGATCATAACCTTTGTATTACATACTTATACACAATTTGCGTACAAAGAGCGGCCATTTTGTCGGGCAGTTTCATTTCGATTTTCCCGAAATTCCAATTCAACCTTCATTGTGGTAGAATGGTGATACATGTATCTAAACGGTTTTAAAAATCGGAAATAGAAATGTGACCTTTAGAGAATCCACAAGCTAAAAATGCGATTTTCGACCAATAGGGGCCATAATCCAGGAAGTTACGTTCGGATATGCGTGATTATCAAAAGGATCCAAGATCTTTATTATAAAAACATATATTTAAAGTTTCATCCAAATCGGATAAAAACTGTGGCCTCTAGAGGGTCCACAACCTTGATATACCATATTTTTACACTATATGCGTACATTTTGTCAGGCAGTTTTGGTCCGATTTTCACGAAATTCGAACTCAGCTATCATTAGGGTGTAACGGTGACATATTGAAACGTTTTTTTAAATCGGATAAAAATTATGACCTCTAGAGGGACAACAATCGGGGGCCATAATTCAGGAAGTGACAATCCGATATGCGCGAATATCGAAGGGAACAAAGATCTTTGGGTTATAAACATGCATTTCAAGTTTCATCAAAATCGGATCAAATTTGTGACCTCTAGAGTGTCCACAAGCTAAAAACCTGATTTTTCGTACAATCAGGGGCCATAATCTATGAAGTTATGGTCCGATACATGCTAGTATCAAAAGGAACTGAGATCTTTGGGAGATAGACCTATATATTTCAAGTTTCGTCAAAATCGGATAACAATTGTGACCTGTAGAGTGTCCACAAACAAATTGTGGATGGACTGACGGACAGGGGCGATGACAATATTTATATTTTTATAAAGCATCGAGAAATCAAATTGATTATCACTCTGTCAAAAATGCTCAATATCGAACTTATAGTCAAGGGATTGATGTAATGAAACTAAACACCAAGTTTCGTTACTCTCATTCAATTTAAATCATGTTCCAAATCATTGACACATGAAATTGCTTATTATCTCTGCATACCCTAAGCATATAATTCGCATCATCTAACTTAGTCAAGCCATTCACTTAATGAGCATTAACATGCTTCCAAATTTTTAGAACATTCTCTCTTTATTATGTTCCAAAAGGTGTGTCGGACTAAGGGACAAACAGGAAGAAAACCCCTTTTTAATATTTAAAAAAAAAAACCCAGACAAAATAAAACCATTTATATTAATACAATTTAATTATCCTAATTTTACACACACACTTCAGTCATAAATATTACATTACATAATCTGATATCTACTAATATGCATCATTTGCTTTTCCACATTTTCTTCATTTTTTGAGAAGAATATTTGACTGATTTGATTATACCAGCCGTGAAGATACCCTTAACACTTTGATTCCAACTAGAAGATTTAACAATATCTGATATAGATGCAGCTACATGGTCTGAACAATTACTATCATGAGCAAATGCACGTAATACTTCTTCATAGTCGGGATAACGTCCAGTGCTATATCGAGAATGTAATAAATTTCTCTGAACAGTGGAGGGTAGTAAATTAAGGTGGTGCCACTGTGAAACATAATTAGGATACTGTTCAAATTTACCGGTATCTTTATGCCAGTATACATGTTCTTCATTATCTAGTATAGATTGATACAATTTACGGAAATGGATCACATTGGGCTTAACTATTTTCTCAATTTTCTTTTTGTCTTCACCTATAGTCATTCTAAAATCCCCACTATACGATAAACCTGTTATAGTCTGATAAAGTTCCTCTTCTGTAAAAGTTTCTGGAAGAAGCAGTAAGGCACAGTGAACGGCGCTCATTAAATTAATCTGCATGGCATTCTTTAAGTCTTGATTATTTGGAAATTTAAGAATATGAACAGGTTTGTGGAGACGACCACTTACATATAAGGTGTCCCAATCCAAGAGATCAGTAATAAGTCGATCCGTACTAATCACACCATATTTGATTATTCTATTTTCAAAAGGAATTAATGTATTGAAATAAACACCTGAGCCTCTTTTGTCTTGAATATTAGTTATAAATCTTGCACCTAGATATTTTAAAAAAGAATAGTGTTTTTTGTTAAGAACTAAATTTTCTTTATGCCATTTTACAGGTTCATCTACAACAAATATAAAGTCTAACATATTCTCATCTTTGGACGGGTGATCTTCTTGTTGAAATACTGCCGAACCATAAGAAAAGGCCATTTGCAATCCACTGGGGAAGGATGATAATATTCTACTATATAAAGCAGCTGCTGATTGGGTATCAACCAATGATGAACAATAGCGTAACAACCTAGACATTGTCATGAATAAAGAGTTAATATATTCACTTAGAATATGACAATTTTTTACAACAAAAACAGATTTCACTAATATAGTTTACAAAACTAGCATCCAGAAATCTAATTTGAATCCTTTTCATCCTTTTGAAATACACCCATACCAGTAACTGATGAACTTTGAAACATTTCTAATTTCCTTTGGCCTCTTCTGAAGATTGATTCTATTCTTATAACATCTGTTTTAGGGATCGTGGCATTTTTACGAAACTCTTGCCTAATATATCCCTCAAATCCTGGTTTGTCTTTAGTTGCCCTAAGAAACTGCTTGTACAAATTTAAAACTTGTAGTTGCAATTTACTGTGTCTTGGCATTTTTGGATTTTACTCCTAAATCACTGTTAGTACTTCTTGAGGTCATTACCATGTCAATATTCTTGTAATTATCAATCAATCTGCAAAGAAATTATAAATACTGATATAAAATTTACAGAATAATCACAGACAGGAAAATGAATGTTAATTGCCAATCTAAAGCTAATATTGTAAAGATTAATTACAATACAAGCTCATTCTTCGCATGACAAACTTTAACTCCAATTTGACGTCATTTGATCTAAATAATCAATTGACATTGAATTCATATAGAATTTCGTTTTTATAAAGTTAGTTCAAAGTATCCAACACCTTTGATCTGATTATTTCAATTTGATGGCTTGGCAAAGCGGAGAGTCATAAGATGGGACCCAGATTCTTGTCAGTCTTTTGGGCAATAGAAAGGTTACATTGACAAGTCTCTAAATGATCAGATGAGCATCTTAACTATGAGTTGTTGTCTTATACAAATACTATTTAGAATTAGAAAACTCGGACCATCAACGGCATGATGAGAATGCTGTGGTGTCACAAGAAATCATATATAATATATATTCATAAGATTTTCTGAGAGGGATTCTAAAAATAATGTATCCAGATACCCAAAGGCGTTCAATTACAGATCATTCAGACTTTATTATATTTTTTTTTTATCTTTTTTTATAACCGCAAATTAAAAGGTAAAGCGCCAGTTCAATCTACATTTTATCACATTTGTGTTATGATCAATCTGACCAAATCCGAGTCAAATAAGAGTTCCTTCCCTTGAATCATTCCAGTCGCAGTGCCAACCCAATAACTTTACTTAGCACAACCAGTGTGTTTTTGTTGAAGAAATAATTAGTCAGACAACTGACAAAGCAAGAATATGTCTCTACCAGGTTGTTTTGTAGCTGTACATGCTGGTAACTAAAACAATATACCACAAGTATATCTAATGGAAACGTTTTCAACCCTCAAAAAACACTCGCCAGGAAAACACTTCTGGGTGTGTGGAAATTTCGGTTTCCACAATCTCATAATATTAACGAAACGAAATTATTAAATACTTTATATTTAAAATTTAATTCTTTTTACCTTTTTAACAATATGAAAAATTATTTTTTTTTAAAAATTCAGGTGCTGGTTTTCATTCTCCACGTAAAGAGGAAGAATATAAAGATGTTTGTAAAACAGCTTGTTTACAGGTGAGGTTGCAATTGCCATTGTAATTGTAGTCTGGAGGCTCAGTGCGGAGGGGTGTCCATCAAATGGGCACAAACGAGACCCAACTTTTCTAGAGTAAAATTTTGCGTAGAATACGATGCCGAGTGGTAATCAGTTTGCTGTTTTCGCGATATTCGGAGTCAAAAGTCAAATGAGGTCATTTGGACTGAAAGTGAATGCGCAGCCATTCTTGTATCACGAAAACATGCTGAAAATGATAGAAAGTAACCAGTCTTTCAATAAAAATGTTAACTTGCTAAATTCACCTTTTTTCTTGTGACCTCGGAGGCCAAAAGGTCAAATTGTCTGTTTTTTGCACTAGTAAGATTTAAAGCAATAAAATATCAGCGCAAAATATAAAAACTAGAGCGAAACCTGTTCTAATAAATAGTAGGAACATTTAAGACTTATCTTTAGGTGGTCTTAGTACCGTACATTTACTTTAGAACGTCGAAAAAAAGGTCCTGCAGACTGATTACCACACAGCATCGTATTCTACACAAAATTTTACTCTAGCTAAGTTGGGTCTGGTTTTTTGCCCATTTGATGGACACCCCCCGGCTCTGAGCCTCCGGTCTATTGAGAACATCATTCGCATAATATAGCATAGAGGCTATTCTGAGTATTCGGTTCTCCAACACTGCAACAGCATTTTCAGAAACAAAAATTTTTAAAGGAGCTAAATCTCTATTCTTTGGCACCTAGAAATGGACACAAATGTGCTTATTCATTTGGAATGTTACCTCAAGCTTATATCCTTTGAACAAATTTACAGTGAACACTGGACGTATTCCTCGTCAGTTGGAATTCACAAGGGAAACACCAGACCAAATTCCCCTCCATTGCATTGTCCAATTAACCATCTAGTGCCAATGTTAAATTGTTAATCTCAAAATGGCCTATGCGTAGACCTACAGTGTTGATGAGATATAACTTAAAATCAGCTGTTTTATTTTTAAATCTATACCAACATGATTTCTTATTGCCACATTTTTTTTAATCTCATTGACATGAATTTGAATCTTACCTTATGACAATGATTTTGGCTTGTTTCTGATCCAGTGATGTATGAATTATTATGATATACATGAATCATAAGAGTTAAAGGGATTTCCAAGCATGAATATTTTGCAATATTAAACTTAGGTACAGGTAGAATTATTCAAGATACCTGGTGTTAGTATTCTCAAATGATTCAGCTGACTTATATTGGCCAGGTTTGCCCCAACTTTTTCTGAAAATAATTCAAAATGTGAATTAAATATTTGCATTTCTGTCGCATATGTTTTTTTCTTTTCAGGCAATGCAGTTACTTTTAAAAGGAGAATCGACCCTTTCTGCTGTAACTGCTGCCACAATTTCATTAGAGGTATTATACATATTATCCACTTTTTTTTTAAAAAATCCCTCCACTTTTCCAAATAATGCCTAGGTAAATGTTCCCCCTCAGAAAGATGTTGTAGAATTAAGTCAGTGAACTGTGTTTGAGAGAAGAATTTGTTCTGGACAGATTTATTCAAGTTATTTGAAATTTTAATTTAAATGTATATATACCGTATTTAAATGCATTAAAAAAAAAAACAATTTTTAACTATACACGATTCATAAAAACTAATAAATTAATCACAATCTGCCAAGTACTTTTGATCATTACGGCAGAATGTGATTAATTTATTAGTTTTGTGTTTTTTTAAATATTATATACTGAGAGAAGCTTTATTTCGTTTTAATTTAAAGGAGCTAAATCGCTAATATTTTGAATCTAGAAATTGACACAAATGGGCCGCAACGCATATAATAATGTAATGTGAATGTATATAAACTGATTTACATTCAATCTTTTCTGTTTTTATTGCAATTTCTAATCAGTTATGTTCGGCGAAATACGCCAGAAGTCTCAATCGAATGGCAATCTCTAGCGTCTAGTTATTCCACTCTATACTGATAGTATTTATTGCGCATGCTCTCCAGATAAGAATATGGCGTCACCGCTTGACATGACTTCTACGAGTCCCTTGTTAAAAATGGCGCTGAAATGCACCATGGTACACGATTCATATACCAACGGTAAAATGTTTATTTTGTCTTAATTATTGGATATCAGAAGCCCATCTTTTCCCCATAAGGTCACAACACCAATGTTGATTTAAATTGACAAATAATTTGTGTTTTCAATGTCGAAGGGATGATATTGAGTTGGAGACTTAGCTACTTTAAATGTGTATATAAGAAAATAAAACACATCATTTTTTCAGGATGCATCATGTACAAATGCTGGTGTTGGTTCAAGTTTAACTATGAATGGAATGGTTGAATGTGATGCTAGTATCATAGATGGACAGACATCTTTATTTGGTATTGTGGGATGTTTACAAGGTAATTCATGAAGGCAGTTCAATTTATTACACTATTACAACTACAACCACACTACAAGTATAATTTTGTTACATGATCTCAGATAATATCTTAATACATCTTTTTTTTTCAGAATCATGTAGTGAAAAAAAAAAAATAGAACATTCATTTTAAGGAGCAGGGCTCTCATTTAATTCTTTTAGTCATTGTCTGGCTAAAAAAAAAATCAATGTGCGGCATCAATTAATTCCCTTAATTAAACTTATTGACATTTTCAAAAAGCTTAGTATACCATTTGTTAGTTGCAGTTTGGTTTCTAGAAAGCAAAATTAAAAAAAATGTGACAGTGATTTTTTTTAAATATAGATTTTCTGATTCTAAAAATGTCTAGCAAATTTTTTAAGAGAGATCTCTGCTCTTAAATTTGAAGTTCACTGAGGGAATGCTCAGTTGAGTCTTGAATGCTCTAAAATAAGAGAATTGCAATCACTTGAAATCGATTGAGTATCCTTTAAGAATCATAATAAATCTGATTAGGTACATGATATATGGGAGTGTAATTGCTTAAAGATACATTATGGGAGATTCGATAACTAGTTGGCAGTTCTCACTATAATAGTTAAAAACTATATAATGTAAAGGCAAGATGCTGAAAATTTCATTCAAATTGATCCACTATGAACCGAGAACTAAGCGGTTGAAATTCCCGGCTAGCCTTGATCATCATTACTAAAGTCGGTACAAAAAACAGCACAGTCTCGATTATCCATTTAATCGTTAAATCGTAAAGGAAAGTTATGCAGTAAATCGGCTCATAATCCACTAAAGATCGCAGGCTAGCGATGCCATCTAGAGTTGATTATGGTCTGGATAGGTTAATTAATGTCTAATTAATAGTTTAGATAACATTTCAGGCCTAAAGAAAGACCTGCAATAGGCAGATTTAGCTCTTGCATAATGCATGTTTAAGTATGTGATATATTAAGGTCATATTGTTTTTGTCCCAAGTCCACTTTATGATGTTTTTCTTTCAATTTGTGTATAGGTGTTAGGAACCCAATAAAAGCCGCAAAGAAACTGATTGAAAAGCAGCAGAGTGACAACCTATCCCATGGTAGAATACCACCAAGGTAAATTTTTATGTCACAAAAGTTTCATTGTATCGGAAATGATGCCATTGATTTATTAAATGAAAGTCATAAATAAATTTGATCCAACTATTTATCCTTACAAGGGGCTGAAGTTCACTCTTTTACATGTGTGTGATCGTAATAGAGGTATAGAAACTTTTATTGTTCTACTACGAGACATTCATCATTAATTATAAACACAACACTCAGTATAATCCTCTGTTGATAACTATGTATATATCTCTTAAACACCGATCATGGAATAATGTGGCTTCTATATTCTGTACCAGCCATATAATTTTAGGGGGATCACGTGGCTAAGTGGGTAAGACGCTGGCTCGCTAGCCTGGAGGTCGGGTGTTCGATCCCTGCATTTGCCGAGAAAGTTCATCCAGATTTTCCGGCGTGGTTTCCCCTTGTCAGTGATGCAGGATCAAGGGCCTGACAAGGACAGTTGTCTAGTCGTTCGGATGGGACGAAAAACCGAGGTCCCATGTACACATTGGCTTGCACGTAAAAGATCCCTTGGCAGTTGGAATTCGATATAAGAGTAGGCTGTAGCGCCGCTGCCCGGGCAAAATTTCCCTCATAGCACACTGTATGGCGTATGCCCGTCTTCATTAGCCCAACTTAGGAGCAGAACAGTAGGACGTTAAACCCCATTTCATTTCATTTCATATAATTTTAAAGTTACATGGTTAAGGTTGATCGTAGCTATGTTTGAAAGTTGGGTTTTGAAAAATATGCTATTTTTACAGCGTGCAAAATGACCAATGGGTCAGGTCTAGTTTCGGTCATTTTCCATTGCCCTTGGTCATGACCGGCAAATACGGCCAACATGGAATCTAGGGGGGTTGAATGGTTAGCACGTGCGCACTGGGCTGTATCATACGGTGAGTCATTGAGTCAACTGGCGGGGCTTCGAATCCCCGGTTTTACGTGACAAGGATTAGGGTCGCCTGTCAAACCTCGTGGGTTTTCTCCGGGTCCTTCAGTTTCCTCCCAGGGCTAAAGACCCCTACGCGCAAGCGAATTATTGAAATTAAATTGAACCATGTGTTAGCCCCGATATGACCTAGTTTGTGTCTAGTGGACGTTAAACCCCATTTCTCTCTCAAACATGGAATCCATGGGCTGGACAGTACAAGCTGTGTATTTTTGGAAATTTTTAATATTTTGGTGAGAGATTTATTGTTTATAAAATCATTTATTGCAGTGTTTTAGTTGGACATGGTGCGAGAAAATGGTGTGAACAATCTGGTATAGAAACTTGTGATCCAGCTCTTCTAATAACAGGTTAGTAATACAGGCTTATTTAAAGCCTCGGATTGTCATTGAAGTGTTTTCAATATTTTCTATTCTTGGCTTAGGAAGTGTTTTCAATATTTTCTATTCTTGGCTTAGGACAGTTGCTCATGCTTGCTGATTTTGCATCCCATTGGAGGGTTCGCACTGCTCTTGTACTTATATAACCATATTCTTTTCATTTTATTTATTTGTGTAATATGCTTGATAACGACTTGTGAAATCTTGTTGAAAAGTCGCAGTGAAATAAACCATAGTAATTGTTATCCATAAATAGTGTGTTATTTGATGACTTTCAATATTGTTCAAGTTGGATCTCTCAAAGGAATATCAGTCCAAAATGGTTCAATTCATTCTGTATTTACAAAGACATAATGAAAGGAAACTTTTTCAAGATCAATGCTCATCTGAAGATGGTGTAAACAAGCCAGTGCCACCTATAAATGTTGCTTAAATTTTTTATTTGACTTATTTTTAATCCATTTGAATCCAAGCTAGGAGATTATCTACCCTTGACATCTAGGTTTTGTTTTCTTCATTAAATGTTAAATAATCAACGGGAGTACATTTTGAGGGGATTAAGACGTGAAAAAGTAGATATTGTCAGAAACATGACAAATGTCCATGAGTGACTTTAAAGGGACAATAACACTCTTGCTGACTTGACAGCTCCAGAAAATAAAAAAATAGCCTTATTCTAAGTACTAGATGTGTTAGTGTCCTACCTGTTGTGTAAATTATCCATTAAATCCTATTTTACTTGTCCAAAGGGTTCAAAAATATTTTTAAATCCAAGTAATATTTGAAAAGCTTTACGTCAGGCTTTTCATATCATTTAGTTGAATATTTCCAAGTTTTTAAATTAGGTGTGTTAAGATGAAATTTGTATCATCAATTAACTGGAATATTGTATAATAGTACAATTTGTTGACCAGAATAAAGATTGGGACATATTATTCAGTTACAACAAGGGTGGTATTTAACATTATTGTTACATTACAAGTACATGTAGTCTGATTTTGATTCACTAACTCATTCATCATTATCACATTATTATAAGTATGTGTCTTAAATTTGTACCAAGTGTATAAGGTTTGTATTTGTATTCCAGAATCTTCTAAAAGAATGCATCTTAAATATAGAAGAAAAATTGAAGGTTGTTCTTCTAAACATGAAAAAGCCCATGAAGTAAAGAGAAGCAGGGTTAGTGAATTATCAGACTTTCATTGAGAACTGTGTCAGAATGTAATAGATGTATAAACTATAAACATGCTTATAGAAAACAGCTACCGATTTATTTAGGCGACGTTTCGAAGAGTATTCTCTCAACTTTTTCAAGCTAATAAAATATAACAATGTTTAAAGTAACATATATAGACAAAATTACAATAGTTTATTTATCTGCCTAGTTACTAAATGCCACTTAAAGAAAATGTAATTAATTGAATTTACAGTCCTTGATAAACAATATGTCTACAGTATACTTACCTTGATTCAACTTTAGAATAAGTTTAGTCTAAAGTGTAATCATGGGTAGACGAAGACCACAGAAATGGAAATACTGGTCTTCACCATCTTGTGTCAGATTTAAAGTCGCTCTTCAGCCACAATCAGTTGTGGTTATTGCCGATGGGTAGGGTTATATTTCCCTGGCTGCTTTAAAATTTGGGGGTGCTGCATTGGATTAGTTATTTTGATGTAAACATTTAGATTTGTTTGTTAGATTGATGAAGACGATATAAATGGTAGTGTACAGGATACTGTTGGTGCTATATGTATAGATAATAATGGTAATATAACTGCATCATCTTCTAGTGGAGGAATATGGTTAAAACATTCTGGTAGAATTGGACCGGTAAATAACTTTATTCATCATAGTTAATACAGTGAAAATTCTAAATTTGAATATATAGCCTAATTATTTGAAAGAAAATTATTTTTTTTTTACTGTTGTCATAAGGTTTTGAAAGAAACTGAAGTAAGCTATTAGACATGCATTGCATGTAAACCATAACATTGATATTAATTCGTTTTGTTAAAAAATAAGAGCAAGCCTGTTATTTTCTTAATCCAAACAGTGATATATTGACTACTAGTTGATTTTAAGAGCTCAAATTGTCACAGATTGATATAACAGACTGCAGTCAAATAAAAGTTTGCAAAATATCAGCTCACAATTATTTAAATGAATATGATCACTCTTATTAATAATTGTACTATTTCTGTCAAGGTCATTTGCAAACTAACCAAGATTTGGAATTGGAATGAGATACAACTTTTCATAAATCATTATTATTGTAGGCGGCTACTTATGGAGCTGGATGCTGGGCTAAAAATAAAACAAAGGACAGATCTGGTGTAGCCGTGACAACTTCAGGTAGAATTTTTAGTCAAAATCCACTCTATACAAAATGTGGTTTTATCATAATGCAAGTTTAAAGTCAACAAATATATTTTGTTTTTTATATCATGACTACCGTTCTCTTTGAATAGGTTCAGGTGAAGATATTATAAGAAGTTTATTAGCTAAAACATGTGCTGATCATATACAGACAGTTGATAATGTACATCAAGCTATTAATGAAGTCTTCAATAAAGAATTTATAGGTAATATAGTTTGTATATTAGGCCTATTTACATCAGGGGAGTGGTCTAATTATTAAAATAAAATTGTATCATTTAGTCCCAAAATGACCGAGGTTATGTCAAGTGGACGTTAATCCCAGTTTCTATCTCTCCTTCCTATTTACATCAATTTTCTTTTTTTATCTCATTAAAATTTTCAGTAGTTAAGCGGTTGTAACCATTCATTGGTCTTTATAGATATATGAGATCTTAAACAACCATAGATAAGCTGTTGTAATCATTCATTGGTTTTTATAGATATATGAGGTCTTAAAGATCCATAGATAAGCTGTTGTAACCATTCATTGGTCTTTATAGATATATGAGATCTTAAAGCTCCATAGATAAGCTGTTGTAGCCATTCATTGGTTTTTATAGATATATGAGATCTTAAAGAACCATGGTGGGGAGGGGGCAGAATGGTTAGCACGTGTGTGCTGTATCGTAAGATCTATCATTGAGCCAACTGGTGTGGTTTCGATTCCCTGGTTGTACGTGACAAGGAGTAGGGTCGCCTGTCCAACCTCCGGTTTCCTTCCACTGCTAAAGACTCCTACGCACAAGTGAATTATTGAAATAAAATTGAACCATGTGTTAGTCCCGAAATGACCTAGTTTGTGTCGAGTGGACTTAAATCCCATTTCTCTCTCTCTCTTTCTCTTAACAACCATAGATAATAAGCTGTTGTAACCATTCATTGGTCTTATAAGAAATCTGAGACCTTAAACCATGTCATTTTTAGGAGATGATAGTGAAAAACATGGAGGAGTTTTAGTTGTTAAAACAGAAGATGTTGATTCAGGTAAATATGAATATACTATTCATTTTCTCTTTTATTATTTTTGGCCGTGTGAGTCAAAAGTGACAACTTTAGCTAGTGGATTTTCACCATGAAAGCAACCATTTAATGAGTGTGTCATTCAAGAAAATTAAAATATTGAATTCACCAGCAGATATAAATTTATTCAAGTCTCATGCAAATTGGATGAAAATGTAAACTCAAATGCTTCACTGGTTAAACATACATTATGCAAGAGCTAAATCTGTCTATTGCAGGTCTTTCTTTAGGTCTGAAATGTTATCTAAATTATTAATTAGACATTAATTAACCTATCCAGACCATAATTAACTCTAGATGGCATCATTAGCCTGCGATTTTTAGTGGATTATGAGTCAATTTACTGCATAACTTTTCTTCACGATTTAATGATTAAATGGATAATCAAGAATATGCTGTTTATCGTACTGACTTTAGTAATGATGATCGAGGCTAGGTGGAAATTTCAATCGCTTAGTTCTCGGTTCATAGTGGATCAATTTGAATGAAATTTTCAGCAAATTGTCTTTACATTATCTAGTTTTTAACTATTATAGTGAGAACTGCCAACTCGTTATCGAATCTCCCATAATGTATCTTTAAGGATGCCAGTTCTTATGGAGAACATTTATTATTTAAAATGGTATAAATTATTATATTTTAGTTGAGTTGCTGTGGGCGCATACGACTGACAGTATGTGTATTGGATATATGTCATCCTTACAGAAAACACCAAAGGTAATTAGCATGTATCTAACTATGGTCTGCTGCATAGGTTCCAAGTCCGGCATATATGCCGGTCATGACCACTTGAGTTAAAAATTGACCGAAATGTCTTGAGACCCATTGGTCAATTTACTGGCATCACAACTCTTTTTCTGGGGAAAGTTGTATTTTATTAAAAGACAAATTTTAGCATTAAGTTTAAAAGTATATGGCATAGAAATTAAAACCTATCGATAAATACTGAACGTGAAATTTTTGTATTTTAGAAATGTAACATTTCACAGTATAAGTAGTTATTTTTATAGGTTTCATTTCTAAAAAATTAATATTTCTAAAACTGCACAATTCCATATAATTGTGTCATGTTCTCTTCTCACTCAGTTACTAAATACCGCATAAACAATTTGCTCAATTATAGAGAGTGAAATGGGGTTTAACGTCCACTCGACACAAACTAGGTCATTTCGGGACTAACATATGGTTTAATTTTATTTCAATGATTCGCTTGCGCGTAGGGGTCTTTAGCAGTGGGAGGAAACCTGAGGACCCAGGGAAAGCCCACGAGGTTGGACAGGCGACCCTGCTCCTTGCCATGTACAACAGGGGATTTGACAGGCCTTATGATACAGCACGCATGTGCTAACCATTTGGCCATCCAAACCCCCTGCTCAAGTATAACTAAGGGATTAAAATATGAGAGGTTCCCTTAGCCCTATTATTTAGATCATCTTTGATCTCTTAAGAATTGGCTTTTGAGTTTTCCTGACATAATTGTAGTAAATAACATTTGTACATTGGGTTATTGGCTGATGAACTCCAGTTTCTACATCCATATCACTGAGTGTGGCATAATGACCCTATTGGTCTTTAACTATTATCGAACATCTGTCTCAAGAGATTATTTTAGATATGGAACACATATTTACAGTTATTATCTTTTGTTTAATATTTCAGACATTTATATCAAGGTTACCTAGTGACAGCCAATCAGGAGTTTCACTTAAAATGGAGGGAAAATATATAAATTTTACAAATAAAAAATAAATAAAAACTTTTCTGACTATTTTTTTTTTTAATTTTCTACTCTATACAATCATTGTAAGGATGATGTCTGGAGGTTCGTATAGCTTACTGCTGAATTCACTTTGATGATTTGAATTTACTGTGTCATATTAATGTACTATATGTTCTGTCTTTTCTTGAGTAGTTAGTCTGTATTGCACACAGAAATGCACTGTATCATACATATAAATGTACCATTCCACTTTGAAGTCTTCATAACATAGATACACAAGACAGATTGTGCTTACTCTTCCTAAAACACCCGATACCATTTCTCATTTGGCAAGGTTCCTTGGCTAAAATATTTTAGTTGTATTTTCATGATTAATTAATCATCACACACATTCAGTTTTATTATTTTTTTGGATCCTGAGAATTATCTGAGTTGTCATTTGGATCTTTGGGGATATTTTTTCGTGCTTCTTCTATTTGTTTGGAAAGTTCATCTAATTTATCAATATTTTTCAATGAAACTTGACCTGATCCACGTGCTGCTGCTTTAGGCTGCAAATAAATAAAATTATAAATTATTCCAAACTATATACCAGGGTTTTTAATCCATATTGAAACGAGCGAGTCTGGATTGGTTCAAAAGGGGTCCAGGGAGAAAATAGGGTAATTATAAGCTTTCATTCCCTTTAATATAACCAGATATCAACAAAAATAATTTTTGGTCATTTGTGATGTAGAATAGTATTGTACATTTCAATATTTGAATAAAATCAGATTTTAGATATATCAGTAAAACCAAAATAAAATCCACATCCTTCATTAATTAGTTTTAATGCAGAGATTTTCTTTTAATAGAAAATAATATTAATATTTCAAAACAAGTTACACTACTTTCCCCTGGTAAAGCCTGTTACTTTCCTATATTCTCCTATCAAAGTCCACAACTGTGAAACAAATTTGTCTTACTGCATTTATGACCTGTGGGGATATTGATATTTTTGCGTATAGTTTACATAATACATATTCTAATAAAGATAAATAAATTAAAATGATTTTAATATTGGACTGAACACTTTAACTTTACACTTATCATGTAGGAAACTATTTATATGGTTTAAAGAATTGACTCGGACAAACCTGTGTTGGATCTGGTTTCCAACCAATAAAATATAATATCTGATATGTAGCTGGTACTCCATGTTCATTTCCATACATTTCTGTAATAAATGATAAGAATCTTGACATTGAAACCATTGAAATATTTTATTTTGGTAACTTTTAATAGTCATAGTACAGAGGTAATATCAGCTTAAACTGCCATATTTAAAACAGGTTGTATTAAAATTCTCATAAACTTTCCAATCTTTTGGAGCTATATAAGTTCGGTATTGTCCAAGAAAAAAAATAATTTTATTCATGTGTCTCACTATGTATTAAAACAGGCCTCCAAAGTCCAAACAAATATATGATACACACGAAGATAGTAAATTAAAACAAGCTTTTTAATGTTCCACTCTTTTGTTAATTTCTGCATTGATATTTATTTGTCAGACACACAACTATATCTTGATCAGTACTATACTATGGCTAATGGTAATAGGGAGGTTGGATGGCTGAATGGTTAGCATGCGCGCTATATAATACGGTCTGTGATTGAGTCAACTGGCAGGGTTTTGATTCCCCGGTTGTACGTGACAAGAAGTAGGGTCGCCTGTCCAACCTCATGGGTTTTCTCCTGTTTCCTCCCACTGCTAAAGACCCCTACGCACAAGCGAATTATTGAAATAAAATTGAACCATGAGTTAGTCCCGAAATGACCTAGTTTGTGTCGAGTGGACGTTAAATCCCATTTCTCTCTCTCTGTAATGGTAATAATATTACCATAAATATAGATGGTAAAAACCCATCATATTTGAGTTTTGGCATCATAGACTAGACAATCGGATTAAATTACAGATCTATATTTCATTTCGTTGTTTATTTTATACTTTTGATGGCTTCTTCCACATGAAGATCAGTTGTAGTGGGACGATGCGTCAGAGGTCATACAAGTGGCTTTCGACCCTATGATGTCAGACATTTGATTAACCAATCAGCATTGATGTTTCTAGAGGGTGACCCAGGTTAAATAACAACTCTTCCAGATTGTAGAGTAGTAAAGACAAGTAAAACGAAATTTTGAACTAAAAAAAAATGAAACAAAATGAAATAGGATCTGTGTTTTAATCAGATTGTAGTCTATACCAATTACAATTGGTCATTCCTACAAAAATAAATTGAAATGTTTACCATTATAAATAGCACTAGCAGCTGTCATTGTATCTCTATGTAATTGTGGCTTTCTTGACCATGAACAATTATTTTCTCCCATACCTGGAGGTAAAACAAAATGGAGCTTTAAAATACAGTCACTAAAACTGTGTGAAAATTATAGTTTGTATTGATTGTAAAAAATCTAGAGAACTGTTAATAATATATCTAAATACAATTAAAGTAGCTAAGTCTCTAACTCAATATCATCCAAAATCTTCAACATTGAAAACACGATTTATTTGTCAAATTAAATCAACATTCATGTTGTGATCTTACCGGGAAAAAGATGGGCTTTTGATATCCAATATTTAAGCCAAAATAAACATTTTACCATTGGTACACGAATCGTGTACCATAATGCGCTTCAGCCTCAGTTGTATCAAGAGACTCGAGGGACGAAATGAAATGAAATGAAATGTGGTTTTATGGCACGCCAGCTCCAACCGGGCTATATTGCACCAAACATATGGTGAATATTACAAGACAGGCTAAATTATATCACAGAAAAACATTATATGCATAAATAAAAACAATATCACAGTTAGTAAAATTAAAAATAAAATACAACTTTTATGCATATAAATATTAAATACAAAAATGAAATGATATATATACAATTAAAACTTATGATAAAATCCTGTCTCCTTTAAAAAGTCTAACACTTTACCATATAAACCCGGTTGGGCAAACATGTGATGTAATGACTGACAACGGTAAAAATTTGATCTAATATCCTTGAAATGCTTGCACTCAATCAAAATATGCTTAACTGTCAAAGGGACATGACAGTGTTCACATTCTGGTTGAGGCTCTCGCTTTAATATGAAAATGTGTGTTAAAAAAGTATGACCAATACGAGAGCGACACAAAACAACTTCATCCCTCCTGTTGGTTCTATAGGAACTTGGCCAGTCTCCTAAGAGAGGCTTAATGTGATGAAGTTTATTTGTGCCTGCAAGATCCCAAGACCGTTGTCAACGGTCATAAATAAAAAAGTTAATACAAGATTTAAAATCTGTAAAAGGTAAAAGAAATTTTGATATGGGAAGATCTAAAGCAGACTTGGCAGCTAAGTCTGCTTGATCGTTCCCTTTAATATCAACATGACTGGGGAGCCAGCAAAGGACAATGTCCTTGCTGTTAAACTCGTGTGATAGTAGCAGACGATAAATGTCTGCTACTAATGGGTGTACAAGCTGCTTATTGTTTATTGCTTGCAAAGAGGACAAAGAATCAGTAAATATACCGGTAACGTGTTTTAAATTAGAAGATGATTGAATGAACTCCAATGCCTGAAAGATGGCCTGGAGCTCAGCAGTAAATATGGAAGCAGCAGGTGGAAGTCTGACAGACATGGTTCCAGATGGCGTGACGGTAGCCGAAGCTACCCGATCACCATCTTTGGAACCATCTGTGTAAATGGGAGCATAATCACCATATTTAGACCTCAACTCTCGAAAGAGAGTCTGAAAAACCGTGGAACTAGTATCTCTCTTTTTGTTTTTCGTCAGATCTAAATCGATCTTTGGAGGCGATATAGTCCAGGGTGGAGTACTAAACAAAGGGGTATTCGCAATACTGTCATGACTGATCCCAGCCTCTGACAAAAGGGGTTGGATGCGAATACCGAATGATGGAATAACGTTAGTTTTCAGTAAATACAGATGTTCGTGAAATGGTCTAAATATGGTGTTATAAGAAATATGATGAGGCAGAGATGCAATTTTTGTAGCATACTGCAGTGCAAGTTTATCACGTCTGTCGTGCAATGAGGGCTCGTGCGCCTCGACGTATAAACTCTGCACTGGAGATGTTCGAAATGCTCCTAAACTGATTCTAAGTCCTTGGTTGTGTATGGTGTCAAGCTCTTTGAGATAAGACTCACGGGCAGACCCATACACAATACACCCATAATCGAGTTTAGATCTTATTAAAGCTCGATATAATCTGAGCAAGACCTTATGATCTGCTCCCCAGTCAGTGTTTGATAAGACTCTCAAAATGTTGAGGGTTTCAGACATTTCTTCTTCAGGGTTTTGATATGTGGGATAACTCGAGGGACGAGGCTAGACACATTGCACCAAATCAAACGGCGTATGTAGACTGGAATAGCCAGACGCTAGAAATTTGCACTCGCTTGAGACTGCTGGCTTATTTCGCCGAACATAACTGATTTGAAATTGGAGTAAAAACGGAAACCATTGAATGTAAATCAGTTTATATACATTCATATTACAGTATTATACGCGTTGCGACCCACTTTTGTCATTTTCTAGGTCCCAAATGTTAGCGATTTAGCTCCTTTAAATTACAATTTTACTTTATCTAATATTTACACTTTGTAATCATACAAACTTTCTATCATAATGTTCTGCAGCAAAGAGTTGCATTTATATTAGACAATTCTATTGTAACCCCATAACAACTCAGAACCATTCGTAATATACACTTTCCCATAATTCACCACACTATACAGTCGGCAAAACATCAAATAAAACGGAAAGGAAGTAGCATCCGAATTTAATCCAATCGGCACTGATGATACTGAAGTGATTCTGCTTATATTTCATGAAAAACTATCTTGCATTGGTCTGAAATTAGTCGAAGAGCTGTGAAAAATCTTTTGTTTCCTTTAACTGGTACTGGGGCAAAAAAAAGCTGTGATGGTGAATGTCCATCGCAAAGATCAAGTGAAAGCAAAAGTAATTTGATCAGTCTTTCGGGTTTTAATGTGTCTTTAACCTACCTTTTAAATCATACATCAGTTCATACGTAGATGGATAATTAATAACAACTTCATCTACATCCTGAAACATACAATAATAACAACTTAAAACATAGACTATGTTTACAATTATTACAAAGCCGCACCCCAATTTCTTTAGATAAAGTTTATTATTGTTACCAATTTATTCATTATACTCGTAAATTTGTTGTAGTTGTGGCTTTGAACCGTTTCCAATATGTACTATGTGTGACAAAACATGACTGTTTATCCCGTAATAAATGCACTCAAGATAATATGGCTAGAAACAGACATGCTTAATAACAGAATCCAGTACAGTATAGGAAACAATGACGATTATGGGCTTATGAAAAGGGGTATATGCCATGCAGTGTGCATGAGGGGAATTTCGACTGACATCAGTGTTTATGTTTATTCTACTATTAATTCCAACAGAAGCTGAACCTCGTTAGTGAGACATAGCGATCCTTACTGAGCCAACATCACTTCCAATGCTTATTGGTATTTATTCTGTAGAATAATCAGATTTAATAATACTTACTATAGTTAATAAATTAAATCCTGCCCTGTTTAATAAATTACCCAAATCTCGGATCTCTGTAAAAGGTGAAATATGAGCAGCAAATCCCTGAAACAGTAATATGTTGGTCAGAATAAAATACTCTTGTATAACCAGCAAACAATACTAGTGGTTCTTTTTCCATTTAGATATAAGATGTCAACACAACAATTGTTAGTCTGATAAAACAAGAAAGCAACATTGCAGTGCCCACAATACATCTTGTCAACAAATGTCACAGAAACTCGGGGACTGAGTGGTCAAAGGGTCAAATTTTGAAATTCTGGTCCATATCATCAACCCATTTGGCCAATCAAGTACACGGAAATTTGAAAGATTCACATAACTAACAAATTTTTATTGTTCGAAAAAAGAAAGTATATAGACATAATTATTTTAGTCTATCAATATTGCCATGGTAACCACAAGTAAATATCTCACCCCTTCTCTCTCTTGTTCTGCTAATTGTAAAGAAACCCTGAGTTCGTATAATGTCTCTCCTCCAAACATAGAACCAATGAAAGCACCATCATTCTTTAAACAATTGTAGACCTTGAAAAAAAATAGAAATATTTCAATTATATTTATTCTTTGAGCTAACGATGCCAGATTACTGCACATTACCCAGGTATTTATCATTGAATACTAACTTTTCTTTAAAAAATAATTTTAGATTCTCACCTGTCGAAAACAACCTGGTAAATCATTAACCCAGTGTAAACTGAAAAAACAATATTGATAAAAATTAAAGGGTGCTATAAATAAATGCAATATTTTGAGAGATGTTAAAAAAAAGGCCCCTGTATTATGTGTATTTCTTGTTTTTTATAGCCTGTCAACATGGAAAATCATGTTTCTCGGTGAGTATGGCGCTATCTCACCATTTATCTGGAAGGTTACATGTTGGCTGAGATAGTTTATCTGGATTTTCCAGCTTGGCTACTTTCGTCAGTGGTGCAGTGTGGAGGGTCTGGCAAGGTAATCTGGCTGATTGTTTGGATGGGACGAAATACCGTATGACACAATTGACAGCATGTTAAATATTTAGTGACCATTGGAAATGCTAACAAGAGTAGGCTGTAGCACTGCTAAGATATTTAGCTCATAACACACATTAACCCACAAAGTAAGATGCTAAAACCAACTTAATTCATTTCCAAGATCTCGAGACTGCAATGTTAAATAATTGTTTTAAAAAAAAAAATTTTATGATGCCTAATGATAACAAGAAAGAAAGCTAAAAAAACTGTGTTGAATTCTTGAGAATATATTGGTGAATTTACCTTAAACTACTAACAACAAGATTTAAAGATTTTTCTTTAAAAGGTATAAATTCTTCATCAGCTATAATTTTATATGTTGGTACTTCTGGAGATATTTCACTCTGTTTCTGTATTATATAAAATTAAGATAAATTATATATTCTTAATGTAGACAATTAGTTGAAAAGAATACAGTAACAACTCATTGTAACTTTGTAAGATGGTTCTGGAGTATTGATAACTCTTGGATCCTTTTCAAGTTCAATTTTGTAATACATGCTGTGATTTGGGGTTTCTTGTCATTCTGTAATGATCAAGGTTCATTGGATACTCCTACTCTAGAACTGATCTACATGTGAAGTGAATATTTGAGTCCGAATTTGTAGCAATTGATGACTTCCACTTCACAGACTTGGTTATGATCACTTAACTGTACATCGCAGTGGACGCTTACGGCTAGCCCCCCGATCCATTCACTTTGTCTGAATTTTGCGTTTGTCATTTCTGCGTATTATGTCTTGTCCGTATATTTGTTTTTGTGTAAATTATCTGTGGTGCAGTACCTCTGCACTTACTATTAGGAAAAGCATACACTACATGTATGGAATGGAAATTGAAGGCTTTATACTTTTGACTTACTAAAACTTGATCAGCTAGTTCACACTGATACAAAGTTGACACCATATCACTATAAATATGTTTTGATACATGACCTCGACCACAACCTAAGTCTAATGCAACACCAAACTTTCTGTAAGAAAAATACATACATATAATATACAAATTAGACTGGTTACTTGACAACTGTCAAGGTTTCTTTTACGTGCAATCCATCATATACACAGGATCTCATTTTTGTCCTGTTCGAATGATGAGAAACTGACTATACATGTAGGGAACCACGCTTAAATATACCATGGAACTTTCTCAGCTAACACCAGGATTAAACTCGGGACCTCCTGCTTAGTGAGCCAGCCTCTTACCTGTTTACATCAGAAATCCTGTCGGCTAGTCTATAACCAACCTGAAATATAATGTGATATAAAAATAAATGGTCTAAACAAACGTGGTCAACTTTAAAATATAGCATACGAAACGTTTTAGAATTTGTATATGTTAAGGTTTTATCGAGAACTTAAAACATGATAATTTGAATATTATCATTATCACCAAGATTAAGCAAAGCAAGAGATATCACAAATGTAAAATACAGGTACAGGGCTCATAATAATAACTTTACATTAATTGCAATTTAAATGACACATCTTTTTCTACCTCATCTTTTACATAATTATATAGCTGATAATCTGGCATCAAAGCTGTTCTATTTCTTTGTATTTTTTTAGCCTTTCTATCGAAGACATTCATTATTGTCTCTTTTCGTTGATCGGCAAAATACCTAACGCCCGCTGTCGTTATCAACAACGGTGAGTTTATTTTTATGGATTCTCTAACTCTTTGAAGGTGGCTCACTTTTTGACACCATGTCATTTTATTCGATTTCAAAAACATAAATCTAAACATTTTGTGGATTTTTCAAATATGTCTACATATTATCTACCAAAAGAGTATAGGCATTTTAATAATTCATTCTATTTTAAGAGTTTGGGGCGATTTTCAATCAACAAAATGCACAGAAATCACATTTTTTAGTAAACCGGAAGTGTAACTTTTATTTCCTCCATCATGTAAGAAAGTCGATAGGGGAGTAACTCTTCCGTTTCTCTATTTGGTTTCAGACCACATTTCTAAGCCCACTATTGAACCTATATGACTTTCCTGCATGGAATTATTGGAACAATAAATAATGGACAGGATTGGTTTTCAATATAATTAAAATCTCTTTGTCATCCTTCCAGATCATAAATATTTACCAAGTAGGCTGATATCATATCACAGAATTTCACTGTATGACCTTTACCAAAAATACATAATATATGGAGGGTAATTATGCTGCAGTGTTTTACCTAGTAGTTTGCCAGTTGTAATTGCTGTTCCAAGTTCCTACCTTAAATAAAGGACTTTAAAACAGAATGTAAATATATGTATTGTAGTTTTGATAATTGATTCTGCTATGTGAATACCCATGATAAAGCGTAAAAAGATATACATAACATTTCTTCTTTTCAAATTCCTCCTGAACTGCTATAATTCTCTCCTTGTTAAATATTGATTTTCAGATGATTAGTGGATGGGCATGTCTGTGTTCCCGAATGTAAATGACAATAATATATTGATAAATTGATTTACTCAATCTCTGCTTATCTTTAATATAAATGTGAAAGCCATTGTATATTTACAAATGTTTAAGTCCTTGTATATTGACATATGTGAGCCCTTGTACATTTACATGAGGGTTCAGGTGACCGAATCCTCTAAGGCACATGCTTTAGATCATCAGATATGTCATTGAGTCAAGCAATTTCACTTCAATGGAGATCAGTCGACTGTGCAACCTTGTGGGTTTTCTCAGGACCTCTGATTTCTTCTCACAGCTGAAGACCCCTAGTATACATCTACGTGAATTATTGAAATAACATTGAACCGTGTTATTCCTGAAATGACCTAGTTTGTGCTGAGTGGAAGTTAAATCCCATTTCTCTCTGTATACTTACATAAAGAAGTTTAACTGTTCAGGTATATTTTGCATACCAATAATAATAATAATAATAAAAACTTTATTTAATGAGGCAACGTATTTAGTTTGCAAAAAAAAAAAACCTAGTCTTCCATAGGTCCCTCCTAAACTACAAAGACATATATACATGTAATATCAGGATAAATTTAAAATCATTAGAAATGCAATAGCATTTTAAAGTGGAAAGTTTGATAAGTCACTCCCAAACTACAAAACATATACATTATACAAGTAGAATATAGGAAGAACACTATAATTACACACAAAATAAAATAGAATGCAGTTGCAAGTTAAAAATAATAAGTATGTCATCAGTTGAATATTATGGTTCCTTCTAACAACACAAGGATTCATTTCAATAAACACAATTAATACCTTTTTAAATAACAGAATTTCATTTTTAAATAACAGTGACATAACATATCAGTTTAATAACCAATTTTAATCAGAAATATTATTAGTAACAATAATGCCCACAATATAAAACACTTCTGTATATTATATTATATAAATTGATTTCTCATTGAATATTTTAATTAGCACCATATAGTATCAAAACTGATATTCATAAAATTGAATCAAAACAATGTTAAAGCCCAGTGAATAGAAAGACAATTTCACGTGATTTTTTAAATCTTCTACACGAATAACAGTCAAGCAGTAGTTAAAATTGAAAATAAAAATAGAGGAATTTGACAGTCTTGTATATATGTTCACAGGTGCCTGTAACATGGAAGCTAACAGAACACAGTTAATTTGTTCCCTGATCGCTAAATGCCACTTAAAGAATAAACATGGAAGCTCTCTTTCAAAAATAACATTAAACTGTGACTAAGTATAATGCCAATAGTCTATTACGTTTATGTTTAAACTGTCTGAATCCGATTCCCTACTTCAAGGGCAAATTACTCCTTGGCCAACTGTTTCTTACTTTAGTATTATCATGGACCTTTATAAATCCATGGCATTATATCTACTGAATTGGCTTTAGATAAGTTATTTGCCCCTGAACTAGGGAATCGGATTCAGACTGGCTATTTGAACATGAATGTAATAGTAGTCACAGCTCAATGTTATTTTTGAAAAACATTTTCCGTGTTACATGCATTTCTATATGTACACATCCATAATCCACAATTTTACCACAATTGACTTCATACAGCCCATCGTGATTTGTATATCTGTAATGGCAACCATGCAGTTCATCAGTCAGTGACTCGAACTATTAAATTAAATATCCTTCATGTTCTTTGGATTCAATATTTCTATCCAATAACCATCAGGATCCTGGATAAAAGCCAATCCTTTCATTTTCCCTGAAAATAGAAAAATTTGAAATATTTTTATAAGTAATATGGGAGTCGTGGTGGCTTAGCCGAGAAATTTTATCATGATTTTCTGGTGTGGTTCCCTCTTGTAAGTGGTGCAGGACGGAGGACCTGCAAGGGACAATGTATAGTCGGTCGTATGGGACAAAAAACCATGCCCGTAAAGGAACTCTTGACAGTTGGAATTCAATAATAAAAACTTGCAAAAAACTCCATAAGTCCCTCCTAAGCTACAAAGACATATATACATGTAATATCAGGATAAATTCAAAATCATTTGAAATGCAATAGCATTTTAATGTGAGAAGTTTGGGTTAGTAAGTCACTCCTCAACTACAAAACATATACACGTAAAATATAGGAAGAACACTATAATTACACACAAAATAAGACAGAATGCAGTTGCAGGTCAGTTAAATTAGTGAAGTAATCATTCATCACATTAGCAATCGCATTTAGATCATTAACTGTTGTTTTACCATAGTTAATACTATTGGGATAAGGGCAATTATTGGGTTTATTCTGTATGTCATGAAAATATCTCCATGTTTTTAGATTGCTCTTCATTTTCAAAAGAGTCTCTGATGAAGTTTCTCTAGGCATTAGTAATGAAATTTTTGGTTTTATTTCTCCATATTCCATATTCAGTGCCGCTTTCCGGGGACAAAATTTCTCCCAATATACACTGTATGGTGTTTGCCCCTCTTCAATAGCCCAGTTAGTGCCGAACGGTAGGACGTTAAACCCGATTTCATTAGTAATATAGTAGTCCTGTGTCTAATGGGTGTCCAAAAACATTTTGGGTAAATGTTTATTGAGGTAGAAGGTTCCTACCTTCACTTCTAACTCATAAATCAATATATTAAAATGTTAAAGCTTTTAAAATAAATACCATCATCAGGCTTCTTCTTAAAGGGCACACCTAAACTCTCAAATCTTTTACAAGCGTCATATACATCTGGCACACATATTCCAATATGTCCTACAATAATACAATTAAAATCAATACAGCGGTGGCTAAGTGGGTAAGACACTGGCTCCCTAACCTGGAGATCGGGTGTTCGATCCCTGCATTGGTCAAGAAAGTTCATCCAGATTTTCTGGCGTGGTTCCCCCTTGTCAGTGATGCAGGACGGAGGGCCTGACAAGGACAGCTGTCTAGTCGTTCGGATGGAATGACAAACCAAGGTCCTGTGTACACATTGGCATGCACGTAAAGATCCCTTGACAGTTGGAATTCGATATAAAAGTATGCTGTAGTGCTGCTTTCTGGGCAAAATTTCCCTCATAGCACTCTGTATGATGTATGCCTGTCTTCATTAGCCCAGTTTGGAGCAGAACAGTAGGATGTTAAACCTCATTTCATTTCATTTAAAATCCAAACACTCTTCATAAACGATATCAATTGATTACGCAAAGACACAGATTCCACTGACTTTTCGAAACTGTTTGACAGTCAAAACATTAAGGCCAAACCAAATCAATTTTTAGTTACTGTTTGATCAATTTTAATTTTGAATTTTCTGTTCCTTACTACTAGCCAAACAATCTTGGCAATCTTTTTTTTAAAAATCTGACCCCATAGTGTTTATAAACATGAAAGACAGACAGACTGACTGGGGCGACATCAATTTAATGATTGAAAAATAGATTAAATTCAATAATTATTTTTCAGATGATTATGTGCAAATCATAACAAATCAATACTGAGACAGTAATATAGGACAACAATCACTGGTTTATTATACACAAGCACAATGTTTCGATAATTATTCTCTTATCGTTATCAAGCACAATGATAAGCATTGTGCTTGATAACGATAAGAGAATACTTATCGAAACGTTGTGCTTGTGTATAATAAACCAGTGATTGTTGTCCCATATAACTGTGTCAGTTTTGTTATGTTTCCAATTGCTAAATGCCACTAAAGGATCATAACAAATCAATAAACATTTTCTTTTAATAAGTGTTAAATAATGAAATCATAATTATTTACCAAATCCACGAGGATCCTGATTTCCATTGTGGTATTGTGTATCATCTGACTCTGTTCCCCAGTTGCTATAAATAAGAAATTGATTCAAAGTTATTTATTACTAATTTTTTAAAAAAGGCATTCTGAATGAAAGATAGTGATGTTAAATATGTACAATTGTATCAATTTTCACAATATTAAAACTTCTTCAAATGACAATAAGTGGATTTAAATATGGAAATTGTCCTTCAGTCATGTCCATTAAAGATGACTTACTGAGTCAGCTCTAAAGTTGCTTTTTGTGAGAAACAATAACTTGTTCGTTCTTTCTCATCTTTAGGTATGTTCGAACCATCATCATAAGCGAGAAAGAATAAGGAAAACTTCATGCTCTCGAAGTCAAATTTCTTTATTAATCTGAAAGAAAAACAATTTTGATTAACATCTTTGAATAAATTGGACAGTTTCAGTTTTGTTTGCAAAACAAAACCCAAGCTTAGCAATAGTGGACAAGTGGGTTATCCAGGTATAAGAATCACAGATGCTACTGGCATTATAACAGTTTGATTATAAAAAGTGTTTGTAAATAAGCCATTTAAAATGGTGTATACCGTAATTGCATTCAGACAGTCAGTAGTGCACGTTTATGACTGACTGAAATTCAATATTGAGTATACCCAATTGGCATTCGGTTAGTATGGCTGACTAGATAGCGTGTACGATTCCAAACTGAAGGTCGCGGTTCTGAATCCAAGCAGAGAGAGAGAAAGAGAAATGGGGTTTAACTTCCACTCGACACAAACTAGGTCATTTCGGGACTAACATTTGGTTCAATTTTATTTCAATAACTTGCTTGAGCGTTGGGGTCTTTAGCAGTCTGAAGAAACTGGAGACCGGAGAAAACCCACGAGATTGGACAGGCGACCCTACTCCTTGTCACATACAACCGGGGAATCGAAACCGTGCCAGTTGACTCAATGACAGACCGTATGATACAGCACGCATGTGCTAACCATTCGGCCATCCCCACCCCACCCACCCCCTGGATCCAAGCAGCAGCTATACCTTTCACATCATTTTCTTTGAAAGTCATTTGGTTTTTTTCGCTTTTCTTCAAGCCTTCTGACATGTTTTTTCCATTTTCGTGACTCTGTCACATCTGATCTCTGATCACTCCGGATTGCTGTGACATCCGGTATGATTTTCATGTCCCGCGGATTTATTTCCTTATTACTTCAGCCAAAAAATCGCTGGTAAATCTGAATTCTGTATGTTCCGGATCCCGTCACATAATTTCCATTGAATCGACACCGTATAATCCGTACTTCAAACGGTGGGTGTGAAGCATCCAATTATCGGTGAGATTAAAACTCAGTGGGTGTGAAGTCAGAAAAGATTAACAAGTAATCGCCAATCAATTATCGGTGAGATTAAAACTGTGTTGATTACTTTGATCGGTAAAGCAGTGAACCCGAGTTGTTTTAAGGGAGTGGACAAGATCTACCTGCCAGTCGATTGGTCGGCCAATCGCAAAGCTTGGATGACAGGTGCCGTTTACTTTGATTGGCTTCCAAAACTGGACATAGAACGACAGATTATAAATGACAATTGACTGAAGACGGGGACGATTGTCTGCGATATCACTTATGTGGAAGCAGACGTTAAACACCAAGAACTACTACTACGACGGGGACGATGAAGAATATACATTAACGACAGTCTTGACCTATTCAAAATTCCTACGCATGCTCAACGACATTAAACACTTCGCACAGATAAAGGACGAAAAGATGATCGCATCAATTCATTTGTTAGAAGATGTTGCCCAGGACTCCGCCTTACGATATGCTTCCGGTAATCTTAACTAAGCAAACTACTTTAAACGATTACATGCATTGATATTTATAAATATATTGTACGCATGCATTGATATTACATGTAAACGATTTATGAATATATTGTACGCATGCATTGTTATTTATTTAATATAATAAAATTTTGAAAGTACAGAAAAGTTTATCATTTATAAAGGGAATAGCATTCTGGTGATTCGAAGCTACAATATAAAAATACTTCCGGTTTTCGAAGTTACAGTATTTCAGGTTTTGGAGAAAACTAGGTATTCCGAAACGCTGTGTGATCCGAATTACTTGCATTTTCTAAGTTATACTCCGTACTCGAGTCTGTTAGTTCAAGTTATATTGTGCATGTTCTACACGTCAGGAATAACATAACTTTATTTGGATTTTGTGGCAAAGGGATATATGTACCTTTATGATTAATTAAACTGAGGCTGCAGATGAAAATTAATTACCTCATTCCTAATACCTTGGAGTAAAATTCAAGAGATTTTCTAGGATCTTTTATTCTCATCATAGTTTGTTGAAAAAAGAAACCCTGAAATACACAGAAGGCATCCTATTTAAAGTTGATGCAATATGTATGATTGTTTAACGCTTTTATCTTTAAGCCTCTAGAGATCGCACAATTGTCAGAGGTAGTATAGGCCTTATTGGCGGGACTGCAGACAAGGAGATGAAAAACTGATGGACTGCAGAGAGAGAGAGAGAGAGAGAGATGGGGTTTAAGGTCCAGGTACACAAACTAGGTCATTTTGGGACCAACACATAGTTTAATTTTATTTCAATAATTCGCTTGCACGTAGGGGTCTTTAGCAGTGGGAGGAAACCGGAGGACCCAGAGAAAACCATCGAGGTTGGACAGGCGACCTTTATACACAATAATAATCATCAGGATTGTTATCCTTTCTGTCTTGCAGTATGGCAAAATTAGGGTACATGATGTACAGGGAGCTGCAGTGGCTCAGTGAGTAAGCTGTTGGCTCAATTTAACCTGGGGGTACCGTATTCGATCCCATTGTAATTGGCAGAGAAAGTAAATCAGGATTATCCGGTGCGGTTCC